TTATGTGATACTAAGTACAAGTTATGAGATGCTAAGTCAGAGTTATGGTATGGTATAAAGTTTATTCATTTTAAAAATACAAAACAGTTTCATAACTATATAAAAAAATACAAGAGATTTAAAATGAAAGGCAGCAGAAAGAAGAAAAAATCTTATTATATCTGCCCCTTTTTCAAACAGTTAGTTCAATCATAATAACTTTCAAGTAACAGAACAAAATGAATAACTCTTTCTAATTTTTCTAATTCTAATACAAAAACACACTAAGCTACTTCATATATTTTTTTTAACAATTCAGCTTTGATCTTTTTCTTAAATGTACACATGACTTGGCATTTTTAACATCACTCTCTAAACCATTCCACAATCCAATTCCTTGCATTGAGGTACAGATACTAAGTCAGAGTTAAGAGATGCTAAGTCAGAGTTATGAGATGCTAAGTCAAAGTTATGAGATACTAAGTAGAAATATGGGATGCTAAGCCAAAGTTATGAAATGCTAAGTCAGAATTATGATATGCTTAGTCAGAATTATGATATGCTTAGTCAGAATTATGATATGCTAAGTCAAAGTTATGAAATGCTAAGTCAGAATTATGGGATGCTAAGTCAAAGTTATGAGATACTAAGTCAGAGTTGAGATGCTAAGTTCCAGTTATGACATAGTTTCTCTTACTTTGAACTTAGAGGATTTTTTCCCAGTGTGGACAAAATGGGTGTTAATATAGAAATGTTTGTTGGGTGGTGTTTTTCATAAAAACTGAACATTTGGAGAACAGCAAGAGAACTTTTCTCACAATCTGTCAACAAGCATTCACCTGAAGTCATAGTCAAAGTTTCCTCCATCGTTTAGTGAAAGCTCATGAAACATTCTTTTAGTGTATCTTATTAGCTGGGTTAGCTTAAGAAGTTACTCAAACTGTGTAAGGTTCATGCTAACAGTAAAAAGTTTCAGAGGCAAATATCAGTGGTAAAATATTGCTTTTTCATTTATTTCCAGATCGATATTTTTAAAACGAGTTTATTGTGAATTGTTCCGTGGCATTCATAAGAACTTTACCAGCTCAGAACTATTTTTTTTCTTTGTCACAGTTCAATTAGTACATTTAGGTGTGGAACAATACCATTTAATGGCATGTTCATGTGGGCACTACAAAAAAAGTGCTGCATGACAACCTCTTCCACTAGATGGCAATGGTATTTTATTTTTTATTTTTTTATTTATTTTCATTTTTCTCCACGCTCCAAGCACCAGTCTGTGACAGTGAGGCCCACACCTGTCCTAAACAATCGTTTGATTTCACAGTAGACCTACTCTACATTGTGTATCTTTAATTTCATGTAACATGCCAGAGCTTTACTTTGAAAGGCTATTCCTCCAGTCAGCGCCACAATGATGATCATACAGTGGGTGCACTGAAGTCCAGACCACGCTGTAGTCGTTTGTATGACTTAACAGCAGTGATCCAAACCATATGATGGGCTGAGTGGATTTTCAGAGACTCTGTGAAGACTCAGCCCACCCACCATATCCACTCATTGCTCTCTGTTTTTGTCTTTCCTCCCCTCCTCAGGCAGCATTCCTTTGTTGCCCAGGGGATCTTGACTGAAGAGGGCCAACATCATTCACAAAAGCTCAGATCCTTCAGCACATGCTCCCTTCATTTCAACCCCGACGATCAAAAGGGGAACAATAAAAAATAAAATCAAAATAAAATATGTGACAGATGGATGTGTAAACTCACATAACTTTGTCCTTAGCAGTCAAGGGGTGAATGAGTGCAAACAAGGAGAACAGCAACGTAGATGTTCAGATGTAGAGGTTAGTTTATATTCACATCTTGTGGGAGGTTCTGATCAATTGATTTCATTAAACAAACATATTCTATTTTTTATTATTTCAGTCCTGCTTGCAGATGTTCTCCATATGTGACAGCAAAAACAGGAAATATGCTAATATTCTTGACATTGTTCAAAGTTGTTGTTTTTTTTTGTTTGTTTCACTGAAGTCAAAAGCGTCAAGAACAGACGGCCTTCATTCCTTTTCCTCCCTCTCGTCCCAGCTCACACCAGTGCTGCAACAGCAGGTGGAGAGCAATACAAGCACTTACAGATAAGATCAGAACAAATAAAAATTGTAGCAAATGCGTTGAGAGAAAATGTTATTTTCAGGGCTTTAGATAACATATAAGTTTATGAGTTTTAGAGCTTGAAACTCTTAAAAAGTAAACTTAAAAGTTAATCACTCATTTTTACTGTAAAGAATCACTGCTGATGGATATTGGCTCTCCTTCTACAAAAGATAAACTCTTAGTTAGTACTTTTAGTTTTCTTCAAAAACAAACTGTCCAGATGACATGATTGAACTTTTTTGTGATTCATTTACCCTGATGATTGAGCAAATTGACTCTTTTTGTTTTTAACCATTTTGGCCAGGATGTCCTCGCTGGATCGGTGAGTAGTAAGCAGCCATTTTGCCTATAACATTTGATTGTTATGCACTGATGAGCGATTGTTTTGGACTCATGGTCCTCCATTTTGCATGTGTAAAGCCATTCTGCATGGAAACTCCACAGCAGACTGCTTTTAAACATGTCGACAAGGTGCTACTTAATACAACAGATCCTGTTGGCAGGCCTCAGACTGATGAAGCCCTTCAGATGAAGGATGAAACGTCCAAAAACAAAAAGAAACTGTCCAGATAACATGATTTAACTTTGTTGTGATCAACTCTTACTCATATAAAGCTATCATCATGGAGTCTGTAAATTATAAGTTATTACCTAAGCCATGCCACATGAAAGATAAAGCGATATAAAACATATCCTCCAATCAAAAAAAGGCCAAATTTGAATGTATTGTGGCAGAAAGATGATTTCTTACATAGTGTCTAAGAGGTAAAGTAAACGTAAGACTCCACAAGAAAACACAACTGTGTGAAAAGCAAAAGTTAATTAAAATAAATTCTATTCACAGAAAAAAATCTAAATTCTTTCAGGACTTGATTAGCCACCGAATATTTCTGTGAGGTCATGCAAGTACCCAGCGTCTGGAGCTGGAGGGCATGGATCATTTCCCGACTCTAGAGATTGAGTCAGAGTCAAACTGAGTCCTGTCCTGGATTATTACTGGCTGAGAGGATCGCCCTTCCCAGCAGCATAATTCCATCTGGGCTAAATGTTTATACAAAGGGGGAACGACATCACTTATCCACAACACTTCCATTCACAGAAGGGAAAGCTGCTTGCACAAAGTCTGCTCACTTTGACTAAAGATTTTTCTCCTTTTTTAATAGTTGCTTGAAGAATCTTTTGGGAAGACGGTTCAGACAACTTAGAGTCGACAATGAGCTTTCTGGTGACTGTTTTGGGGATGATTGTCACACTCTGTGAAATCGGCAGGAACCCAGCCAGCGGTGAGTGGACTTTGTTCTGGATTTAGAAAATGCTTGACCAAAATACATCATCTTTTGAAACAGTTGCAGACTTTTTTCTTTTTACATTTGTAACATATTTATTCACAGCAAAACTTTGTAAAATAAAAGCGTAACATTTACCTCTTTAATTTGGTAATATCGTGATGTAGGAACAATGGAATGAAGAGAAGAAACAGTTGTCGTTTTCCAGCTACAGATGATTTGGTTCAAATAGAAACGATGTTTGAATAAACTTCTGTGGCGTGTCTGTGTGGACCACTTCCAGCTGGGATATGTTGGCTGCAGCAGAATCAGGACCATCGGTGTGACATGGTGCTGATGAGAGGGGTGACCAGAGAGGAGTGCTGTGATGGGGGCCGCCTAGACACGGCGTGGTCCAACACCAGCCTGCCCATGAATGAAATCAGCCTGCTGGGATTCCTGGGGATTGTCTCCTGTAAACCATGCAAAGGTAAACCCTCAAACCATAGTGCTTTAATTTAGCTAAAGAATCATGTTTGTCACTGCAAGGGTTGACAATTATAAAAATCTACCGTATTCTTAAATAAAGTTGCTTGAATGAGCTAGGACAGCCACTGTCAGGTCCTAACTACAACGCTAAAATGTGACTTTCTAGTTTGAAAAGAAATGCCTCTTCTATGCTAAATAACTTTGGTTTGTCAAAGTTACACAAGCTACAGAGTTTGTGGGGAAAAAAATTGAAATGAGTTCCCGATGAAGTTTTTTAACAGCACTTGGACGAGGGAGATGCTTTCCATACGCCTCCCGCTGTTCAGAGCAAACCCCCCCCCCGAATATTTTACAGGTTCACTCCGGTTTATTTTCAGCTAAATGGTGATTTTACAATCAGAACTTGCAATTATCAAATCAGTGTGAATTATTGATTGTTGATAACATTCAACTGGCAAATAAAAATAACATTATTTGATATAATTTTGCCTTTTGGTCACATTTAAAAATGGGCTATTCACATATTTCTGTGTGTGTGTGTGTGTGGGGGGGGGGGTAAACACTGCAGGCAGAGAGTTTGTCACATGCCCAGATGTTTGTGGATCATTCTGTGAAAGGAATGCCACATTAATAAAAAAAAATTGCCAGCTCATGCACCAACGTCATTACCAGCAAAAAAAACAGCCTTCGTGACACAATATCTAAAATGAACGAAACGCGAAACCTGTGCCTACATAAAGAAAAGCCAAGTCTTGGAATAAAACAAGAGCTTAAAGTGACGTTAGAGACAGAAAATTTGTTCCTATTTCTGCTCAGAAGAAGTTGGAGTTTATCAGGAATCATCTCCACCAACTCAGAAAGGTCCTGGGCCTCACGCATCGCTGAGTCTGCACTTCCTCTAGTATTTGACATTATATGAAGTGTTAGAAGGCCTGCAGCATTCTCCTGTGCCAGCCTGTAAACATTTCTGACAGCTATTTAAATTCAATCTAACTCGGAGCGTCTTGATTCCTCTGCAGGAGCTCAGCCCCCATCTGTGTGCAGCACATATATAGTATCTGTTATGAAAACACCACCAGGCCTCACACTCTGCCAGACGAGACATCTTTGAGCGTAACAGTCAATAAAGAAGTGTGATTAGTGTAAATAATGTGCAGGGTGGCCATTGTGTTATGGTCAGGGAAAAGCCTCAGATTTTGAGCTTGTTTTAGATTAAAATGTCTTACAGTAACACCACATGTTCTTCTAGACTCATGTGAGGGAGTCAAATGCAGCTCTGGCAAAGTCTGCAAGATGAAGACGGGAAGGCCTCAGTGTGTCTGTGCTCCGGACTGCTCGCACATCTCCAGAAAGCACGCTGTGTGCGGCAGCGATGGCAGGTCGTACAGGGACGAGTGCGCCCTGCTAATGGCCCGTTGTATGGGACAGCCAGAACTGGAAATCATGTACCAGGGAGAATGCAAAAGTAAGCGATGTCTATTTTAGGCTCCACGCAAACAGCTGTTGTGCAGACTTTGATGTTGTTATTGTGTCTTTTACAGAGTCGTGCTCAAATGTTGTGTGCCCGGGAACTCACACCTGCGTGACTGATCAAACCAACAGCGCTCACTGTGTCATGTGCCGCACTGCACCTTGCCCAGCGCCCGTGCCATCTGAGCAGCTGATCTGTGGAAATGACAACATCACCTACCAGAGCGCGTGCCACCTCCGCAGAGCCACCTGCTTCCTTGGACGCTCCATAGGCGTCCACCACTTCGGCCACTGCAACTGTAAGACCAACAGCCTGTGATAACTTCCCTCGTATTTTCAAGCATTTACTGAAAGTCACAATAATGTGTTTTTGACTCGGCTTTTCCCTGCAGATCCACCTCGGAAATCTCACAAGTTTCAAGGCAGCGAGGAAAACGCAGTGTAAGAAGGAGCCTTTACTCCAGGCAGAGTCCTCCAGCGGGATCTGAGTCGAACGCCTAATTTTTCACGCCACTAGCTTCCAATCATGACCTCGTTATTTTGACAATCACGTCTTCTCCTCCTCCTTGCGCACAAAAAGGATGTTACATTTGAAATGGAACACCTCTGTTGGAAAACGCACATTTGTTCGAGATATTTTGACCTCAGACAAATGGTTAGCCATGTTTAAGTGGAGGCAGATGCACATGTTTTGTAATGAGCTCTTGGGAGATGTGTGCATATTGTAAATAGAATGCCAATATTATTTATTGGAGAAGGTATAAAACTCTATTTATGTTTTATTTTTTAATCTCAGTAACAAACTCATTTATCATTTGAAAAGCTCATACATCATAAATAAATGCATATTTATTGTTGTTTTTCTGTTGTTGATTAGAATTCACTGGCATGAGCTTTTTGTTTTATTTGTTTGTTTTTTTTACACATTTATAGCCTCTCATTATCCACAAACAGAAAAGTTTCTCTCACATGCTGATTGTAAAGAATGCAATTATGTTTGGGTTATTAAAAATCCTGCACACAATATTTTTACTTGTAAATCTGCAGAATCTTAGCCGCCTGCCGATTGAGTTAACAGTTTAAGAAAACATTTGAAACAACCTCAATGCATATAAAATTCCTTCTGTTGGACTTTGCTTGATAATAATTCATTTTTTTAGACACAGTTTTGCTCTTTTTATTTGATTTGGTTTTATTTTTGTTTTGCTTCATAGGTTTACCTGACAACAAAACAAACAACAAAATGTGATTAGGACCACCTAACTTGGAAAGTTCAATTTGTCCCAGAATGCTCTGCATTTTGGGCCAGTTCAACCTACCTGATTATGGCGTCTTGAAAGCTGAGTCTTGATGTTTGTAAACCTGCACCAGTCCACATGAATGATCAAATGATCCAACTGAACCTTCTGAACTCAAAGCAGATGGAAGAACACTGCAGTTTTTGAAGTGTGTCATGAAGCCCAACAAAGTGCAGTCAGGTCATTTGGACGGTTTCTTTTTTGTTGAGACGTTTCGTCCTTCATCCGAAGGACTTCATCAGTCCGAGGAGCCACAACAAATGGAGTCCCACAAGCAGCAATACCCGCATAGTGGACCAACCAGTTTGCAGGTGATAAGATGAGCAGGCAACCAGCAAACTGGTTGCTCCACTATATAGGTATTGCTGCTTGTGTGACTGAGTTTGCTGTGGCTCCTTGGACTGATGAAGTCCTTTAGATGAAGGACGAAATGTCTCAACAAAAAAGAAACCGTCCAGTTGACCTGACTGAACTTTCTTGGGTTTTCTGCCTGGATTATTGAGCATGAACTTTGATGTATCGTGAACCATTTTCATTATTCCTCTGTAAATACCAGCCCCATGTGTTCCAACTAGTGTATGTACTGTGAAATTTAGATGACAAACACGTTAACATATTTTTGTATTTTTGTACTGCCATTTCAAATCAACATAAAGCTTGTGATTTCTCAGAATGACTTCTCTTTCTTTTTGACATGTTGACACGTTGTCTCTATTGTGCGTCTGTAAAACCAAAATGTTTGGCGCACAGCTGATTAGATCCGTAATGTTTCTCAACTGTGGTTTTAGTTTAAAAAAGGCCAGTCACCCTGAGGCTTCTCACACGTTGTTGTGATGGATCAGCCAGCATATGCGTGCAGTGGTTAAACCGTCTCGCCTGTGCGTGCAGTGGCTGAGTGGACTTCTTCAACAGGCCTCTCAAGGTGCGGCTGTGGAGAATCAAATCCAGACTGCTTTACTCTCCTGTTTCCTCAGGGATGTCCTCATGCTCTGTATTAAATACATGAAGGGTCAGCGGGACGGAGAGCTGAGGAATGAATGTTTCGAAGTGCCGGGGCCTGGGCACTGACTCACTTTCCTGTGTATAGTACCTCCCTTGTTTTTCTGTCTCTTGACTCTCCCTCCACTCAATCCTGTGCTCAGCCCTTTCTGCAGCATCTGGTTCAGCTTTAGGGAGATGTTTATATTCCTGTCCAAGTACCCTTTTATTACACTGGGAATGGAATTAGATGTTTTGTTAAATTGAACAGCGCAAAATACAATGCCAGTGAAGGGCTGCGCCCATTTATGAAAACAGTAAAACTGTCTTTTTCAGAAATGCATTTTCTCAAGAAATGAAATTATATGAGATTATCAAAGGAAGTTGCTATGGATATTTGATGACAACAATGGCACAAGAATATTGTGCCAGTGTTGTCATCAGAGGGTTTAGTTTATCATTGAGTTTATGGACACAATATGCATTAAACATATTTTTATATGCCTTCACAGCCTTAATTGTGCCTCCTGATGTATTTTTGCAACATATGAAACCAGTTACTCTCACATCCTTGCCATCTATAAATTCTTGTTTGATTCACGCAGTAAACTATTGTTTGCCAAACCATTGTTTTTTGGGATTTTTTTGTTTGTTTGTTTGTTTTTTAAGTAGGTGGCATTTGGCCATAGTTTAAAGTATTGCAACCTAGGAACCCAAGTATTACAAAACAGGAATTTACAATGAATACCCTCTAAAACAAGGTTATTAGATAAAATAAGGTTTTTAGTTGTCACACTGTGATGCATGTGTTAAAATGACTCATCTTTCAGTAAAGTGTTAACTGAGGCAGCAGATTTGGTCTGTCCATTTGGACAAACTGATATATGTTGTATATACAAAAAAAAATGCTAATGTCTGTATGACTGCACAGCTTATGGATCATTAAAGCAATGATTCACATCTTATGAATTAGGGTTCTGTAGTAAGGCTATCTTACCTGTTGTAAACAGTGCATTGAACGACCATAGTTTGGACACAATTTAATGATGTGTTCTGGTGGGAAAATCTACAGAAACACTTCTCAAACTTGAATATCTATAAGTGAACCCAGAAAGTCAAAGATTTCTGACCTGCCGTGACCTCATGATCCAAAATGGCTACTTTAAACGTGGTGATAGCCACACTAATACACTATCATCTATTGTGTCCATTTGTATCTTATTAGTAGCACACATAGCAAATAAAAATATCTGTAAGTGAACATGTTTCTACAGTGTTCGTTTGCACCGCAGAGAAATGTTATCAGTTTTTATTGTTAATAGTTTGCCTGGTTACTAAGAACAACCAGTGCTTAATTTGAGCAGATCCTGCCAGAACAGGATCTGGGAACTCTCTTTTTTGACAGGGTGCATTCTGGTAACTGTTTGCTTGGATCCGGTAACTCTCAGGCTTACTAATAATAAAGTTATGAACAAATATGACTGTCTTGAACAAATAAAACTTGTGTTGGATATGTAAACTGAAAATAATTACATAAACACTCATTTTAAACACAACAGCCACTTATGAGCATTTGAGCTACCCCTTCAAATAGCATTTCTACCTCTACCCTGAAAAAAATTTCCGGCTCTATAAGAGTGGTGGGGTGAGTGCCAAGCTAACCAGGCAGTCGTACGCAGGCAGGAGCCCACACAGGCAGTTGCCATGAACAGACGGAGGAGGTACCTGGAGGTTTCACATGTGGAGTCGGACAACAATGGGTAGGGACAGAGTCAGGATCGGAACTGTCAAGTGGTGTGGGGTGTAGGATTAAATTTATAAAAAACACAGACATGTTTCTGTTTTTAATGTAGGCTTGACAAAAGTGTTTACAAATGTAGGTAAACGTAGATGTTTAACAACCAGTTAAAATACACCAGAAGGCAGGAAATTGCATATTTATTCAAATTTTTTTTTTTTGGGGGGGGGGGCCCCCAGATCTCTCCTACCCCAACCCCACCCCTGACCTATTTGCATTCCAGCATTGATCAGGTTACAAATTAAGCCCATGGAACAACTATTGGCAAATCCATATTTTCTGTGTTGCAGTTGGAATAAAATAAAACTGAAAGTTTAGAATTTTTAATTCAACCTTTATTTATACAGTTTAGTCTCATTGAGCCTTGAGGACTCATTTACAAGAGAGACCAGGTTTTAACAAAGAATGATGACAGCAGTTAACAATCATAAAAGAAAGCATTTAAACTGAAAAATAAATTGAAGAAAATTATATAAAAAATGAAACAAGAACAGCTACATTATAAAGCGATATAAAATATTAAAAACAGGAACATGTCTGTGTTTTTTTTATTTATTGAATTTAATTTGTTTTGAATTGAATTGAAAATTGAATTAAAAATTATGTCATTCACACAACCTAGTTTGAACTTCCAAGGTATTTGGAACGCAACATTATTTTGACCAGATTTGGATGATAACATCTAATCCGAGGGTCGCAAAAACCAAAGTGGATTTTTTATCTTGAAACAACTCCAGTCTCAAACATTTCAAAGTGGTTCATTCAAAGGCTATTTTGTAAACCTTTACATGGATGTCAGTTTATCATTATATCAAGGTCTAGGTCAAGGTTTCTTTATTGTCATTCACATCATATGTGGTGCATGTGGAGGAACAAAATTGTGTACACAGGGTCCCAGTTACATCCAAAAAAATATAAATTGTGAAGAAAAACAGTAATAAGATCTAAGATATGAACTAAGAAATATGTTAAACTAAGAATACACTAAACACTAATAATACAAAAGCAATAAGCCAACAACAGCAGCACGAACATGAGTCTGTGTAGCAAAAAACATCAGCAGCATGGATAGTCAGCAGCACATATCAACAATCGAGTGGCATTACAGTGATTTTTTTCCCACAGTGATAATCCTGATTAGAGATTCATGAGTCTAACAGCCTCAGGGTAGAAGCTGTTCCTCAGTCTAGTGGTTCTACACTTAATGCTCCTCAACCTTCTGTCTGAGTGGAGCGGAGCAAAGAGTGTGTGTGCTGGGTGAGTGGGGTCCTTCATGATGCAGGTGGCCCTCTTCCTCCATCTGGAAGTGTAGATATCTGTGATGGTGGGGAGGCTGACTCCAAGGGTCTTCTGTACAGTCTTCACCACGCTTTGCAAAGCTTTTCTTTCTGCAGCTGTGCATACGGTATGGTCATTCTGGCAGAAATATTTTAATATTCCAGTAACAAATGTCCCTGGTTGCACTGGAAGTGATATAGCTAGCTGCTGCTAAGGCTATTTGTGCTTACAAACCACAAAATCCCATTTGAATAATTGTGTAGTGCATAATGAATGGCTATGTAAAGGTTTATAAAACAGTGTCTACATATAAAGCTATAAAAGTTTTGATATGTAAGATATTATCAGATATTCACATTAATCTTGCCTCACTTGTGTTAGCAGTTAGCTTGTAAGTTCAGTCTGAATAAACTGTTCAGTGATGGGCAGGGCACAGCTAACCAAAAAGTTAGCTTTGCTAACCCATATTCCGCTAACTAAAATATTAGCTCTGCTAACACTAAACAGGTCATAATAATAATAATAATATAAAAGCAGAAGCTAACACTATAAATCACAAACTGCTTAGCTGACTGTCACTCAATCTGCATCACACATATTTGTCTTGTTCCAGTTGAAGCTGAGTAAACCAGTCACGTCTTGTGACATACATGTCACATGTATAGCACGTACACGTGTACATGTAGTGAGATAATAGCATGCCTTCATCTTGCTTCCACTTATGTTACACTTGTATTTCACAGAATCCCATTTCAATATAACTGAACTGCACAGCAGCCTGACTCTGCCACACTAAAGGTGGTAACAGCACAACCACAGACTCCATGTGAGTCATTTCCAAGGTATTTTAATTACACTCAGTGGGAAACCTCAGGAATTCTATGCCCACTTTCCTCCATATTTCATTTTATTTTTTTCTACGCAATATGGTTTGTGGCAAGTCGAAAGAGGTGAGGGGAATGTAATTTCCAACAAAAACGTGTTTGTGCTTGGGATTGAGTGGAGGGTGTGATTATCATGGCATCTCTGAAGGTGGAGCTCACCTGTTATGATCATGGAATCAGTCGCAAGCCTTTCATCATCACCTCAGGCTGAGTTGTTTATATTCCTACAAACACACAGCAACATAATATGATGCCCATATTGACATTTCCGGGATGCGTAATCATCCTGCCGTAATATG